AGTGATAGAGGCCTCAGTTTTTCCGTATCTACACTATAGGTTCTAATCCCTACCCTAACTGTTTCACAGGACTGAGATAGTGGACAAGAAAGTGCGTTGAAATGGCTAAAAGGGTGTAAAAAGGGTAGGAATGAATAAGAGGAAAATGGTGGAGAAAAGGACAAGGAAGAACAGGAGGAGAAGGGAAATCTCCCCCAATAGGTAATTCTAGCCACACTTGCAGTTACTTGAAAAAGCCAGGCTCTCCTCACATCAGGGTTTTGGTGCTTTTTCTCCCCTCTCCTGGAGTACTCTTCTCCCAGCCCTTCTCATTGACTCATCCTTCAACATCTTTCTCATCTTGCCTCCTCCAAGAGGCCTATGCTAATGACCCTACCTAAGTCATCCTCCACTGCTTTTTCATTTCATCTTCCTTATTTCTTCCATGGAACTGATCACAACCTGAAATGAGCTCACGGCCTGCCTCCACCTATCGGAATGTAAAGTGCACGAGGGCAGAGGCTTGTCTGTCCTATTTATTGCTATATCCCCGGCGCCTGATGCAAAGTGCAACAAAGATTGAATGAATGAATGAGGCAGCTGATGTACTGGGGGTGTAGGGAGCCTGGATGGCAGGCACATGTGGACATTTCCCAGGCAGTCCCTTGAGTTCTAAGGCTGTGACTGGGGTGCTAGGTCAGGAGGGCAGGATCAGGGTAAAGTGAGAGGTGCCTAGAAAAGCACAGCTGGAGAGTGGTTGGAAGGGGCAGTGGGTAGGCAGCAGGGACCCCAATATACTGACTGTTTGCTTTACAAGATGAAAAGCTGATTCAGCCTAATGTTGGATCAGCAACATACTTGACTCAGGAGAGGGTTGTGTGGTCTGAAGTCCACATATGTCAGAGCTGGAGAGGAATTGAGGGGGAAGTAGTGTGCAGTAGTCAAGCACTTGGGCTTTGGTGTCCCTTAAACCTGGATTTGAATCTCTGATTTACTATATACTTGGTGCATAAGCTTGGGCAGATTATTGATATGAACTTCATATTCCACATTTATAAAATGGGAATAATAACAGTTCCAGATTTATAAGGGTTAAATCAGATAATATATGCAAAGAGTTTAGCTGGTGCCTGGCACATAGTAGGTGTTTAATAAATGCTGGCTCTTATTACTACTATTCTGCTGTCCAACCAATTTTATAAATGAAAAGGTGTAGGGTCAGTTACAGTGGCTCATGCTTGTAACACTAATACATTGGGAGGACAAGGCAGGAGGATTGCTTGAGGCCAGGAGTTCAAGACCAGCCTGGGCAACCTGGCAAGACCTTGCCTCTATTAACACAATTAAAAAGAAAGAAAGAAAAGGTGTAGTTCAGAGAGGGGCAGGGATGAGCCCAAAGTCACCCAGTGACTCAATAGCAGAGCGGGGACTCACACCCAGGTCTATCACACCTGGCTGGGTTGTGCTTCTCTCCCTTCCTATAAAGCCCTTGGCAGATGGCAGGAAGACCAGCCTTAGTCCTAGTGGTCTTCCTTTCTAGGTCAGTCATCCTTGCTTCAGAGGCTCCTGCTATCCCAGGATGCTTTTTTTTTTTTTTTTTTAAATTCTATTTCTTTACTTTTTGAGATGGAGTTTCACTCTTGTTGCCCAGGCTGGAGTGCAATGGTGTGATCTCAGCTCACTGCAACCTCCGCCTCCTGAGTTTAAGCAGTTCTCCTGCCTCAGCTTCCCAAGTAGCTGGGATTACAGGCGTGAGGCACCACACTCGGCCGTATGCTCTTATCCCTAGATATAACACCTACCAAGTTTTCCTTTTGGGAGTGATTCTGGCTCAGGGTGTCCCCATAAAGACCTGGAAGTGGCCCTCAGGAGGGATCTCTGTCCCAGAGCTTCAGCCCGGCCCCAACCAAACTTCCAATTCCTGAACCGAAAGCCACATGGGAACACAAGCCAAAAACTGGGAAGACTTCCACTGGCTCATCCTCATCAGAATCATCATTTTAGTTTATGAATAAAAACACAAAGCTTCCGCTAATTTTAGTCCCTATAATGCCTGGGAGCTATAGCAACCAATCCTATAAAAATATACATCTGTCCAGATGGCAAAACAGATATCTGGAGAGTCCACCAGCACCCTGTATTCAACAGTCAAATGCTCTTGGCTTTTGAACCAGGGTGAGAGACCTTGGGGATATTTATTTATTTATTTATTTATAGACAGAGTCTTGCTCTGTCTCCCAGGCTGGAGTGCAGTGGCGCCATCTCGGCTCACTGCAACCTCTGCCTCTTGGGTTCAAGCAATTCTCCTGCCTCAGCCTCCCGTGTAGCTGGGATTACAGGCACGTGCCATGATGTCCAACTAATTTCTTTTGTATTTCTAGTAGAGACGGGGTTTTGCCATGTTGGCCAGGCTGGTCTCAAACTCCTGACCTCAGGTGATCTACCTGCCTCAGCCTCCCAAAGTCCTGGAATTACAGGATTGAGCCACCATGCCCGGCCTTATTATTATTATTATTATTATTATTACAGACTGCATCTTACTCTGTCACCGAGGCTAGTCTCAGGCTTCTGGCCTTAAGCAATCCTCCTGCTTCAGCCTCAGAGTAGCTGGGACTCCAGGAACATACTACTGCACCTGGCCCTTGGGGGTCATCTGGAGCAGATTCCTTCTTGGGTGTTTGTGGATTTTTCTGCAGAGAAAGTTCATGGCTTCCTTCAGGTTCTCAAAAGGACCAAACACCCTAACTTTTATATTTCACTTTAGTGGTTTGAGGGTCTCTTGGGTGTGGGGCGCTGTTCCAGATTGGAACCCTAGTAAAAGACAACCCCCTCTTTTTTCAGATGGGCAAGTGGAAGTTCATTTATTTATTGAATAAAATATTGCAAGCCAGCTTTGTGTGGGGCACTGGTCAACATGCTTGGCACAAAGCAGTGAATCGACATGTGAAATCCCTGCTCTCACCAAGCTTCTGTCTAGTGGGGGAAACAAATGGTTTCTGAGAATGACAGGTGATGGGGAGGAAATAAAACAGTGTAAGGTGACGAACTGTGCCTGTGAGAGAGGCAAGTAGATTGTCTGAGTGGCCAGGGAGGGCCTCTCTAAGGAGGTGACATTAGAATAGGCACAGGAAAATCAGGTGGAAGAGTCTTTCTGGCAGAGGTATGAGCAAGTGCAAAGATTCTGGGCACGGTGGCTCACACTTGTAATCCCAACACTTTGAGAGGCCGAGGTGGGCGGATCACTTGTGATCAGGAGTTCAGGACCAGTCTGGCCAACATGGTGAAACCCTGTCTCTACTAAAAATACAAAAATTAGCCTGGTGTGGTGGCGCATTCCTGTAATCCCAGTTTCTTGAGAGGCTGAGGCAGCAGAATCACTTGAACCCAGGAGGTGGAGATTGCAGTGAGTTGAGATTGCGCCGCTGCACTCCAGACTGGGCAAGAGAGTGAGAGTCTGTCTCAAAAAAAAAAAAAAAAAAAAAAATCCTGGGGGGGGAGAAGCTTTGGGGTAGTTGAGGGACTGGAAGGAAGCTGGTGTGACTGGAGCAGCATGGGCACAGAGGACAGTGGTAGGAGGAGAGAACAGTAAGAGAGACAGGGGCCACAGCGGATGGAAGTGTATCAAGAGAGTGTTCTCTGCCTTCTCCCTTTCCGTGGTATTCAAACCCAATCCATGCTTCAAGGTCCACCTCTTTCAGGAATCCACCAATCTGAAGCCCTGGGATAAGCCTTAGAGTCTGTACCACTCGTGTAAGTGGGTGTATATGTAAGTGGGTGTATATGTAAGGCACAACCTTTCAGCAAGATCCAAAGCTCCTAGAGTAGTGAGTTATCTCAATTGGTTGATCGTTCACAGTCAGTTACAGATTGAATTCCTTGTTGTACTCTTTTTCCCTTCTCAGCTCTGCACTTAACTAGTCTAAAAAAATTAAAAAACAACTTAAGAAACCACAAAGCTAAGCTGGGTGCGGTGGCTCACGCCTGTAATCCTAGCACTTTGGGAGGCCAAGGCATTTGGATTGCCTGAGCTCAGGAGTTCGAGACCAGCCTGGGCAACATGATGAAACCCCATTGCGACTAAAAATACAATAAATTAGCTGGGTATGGTGGCATGTGCACATGTAATCCCAGCTACTCTGGAGGCTGAGGCATGAGGATTGCTTGAACCCGGGAGGCAGAGGTTGCAGTGAGCCGAGATCATGCCACCGCACTTCAGCCTGGGCGACAGAGTGAGACTCTGTCTCAAAAAAACAAAACAAAACCAGAAACCACAAAACTTTTTGAGGACAAGGCCAGGTATTAATTCGCATACCTCCCAGAGTGTTAGGCACAAAATCAATATTCAGCCAAGACCTGTTTCACTGAGCAGTTCATATACAACAGGAGTGACCCAAGTTGAAACGTAGAATCAGCCCGCTCATACCACTTTTTGCAAGGTGATCATAGACAAGTTACTTAGCCTCTATGTTTCCTTATTATTAAAATGGTCATAATTACAATGTCTAAGATAAGGGGTTGCTGGGAAGATTATTAAGTCCTCAGTAAACCTTGGATATTGTTACTCTTATGATTATCATCAATATCATCAGTTACCTTATCTGTTCAATATTGGTGGCATAGGTCCACCAGTTAGATGTCTAATCCCTTACGTGCCTATCAGTGGTACAAGTGGAGTTTGAGTGGGATTTTTTTTTTAAGACCAGTTCCAAATCATCAAGGATGATACCACTAGTAGCAGCTTGTCTTGTCTGTACAGTGGCAAGTCCTGGCCTTGCCTTTGTGGCAAATACAAGCCCCTTGAATTGCTTCGCCCTTCTCAGCATTGCCTAATATTAGGGAGTACTCCTGTAAAGCTCACTGGTTAGAAGATCAAGACACTTGCGCCTGGTTCTGCCCCTGGGGGCCATTGGGTAATTCCTTGCACTCTCCAGGCCTCACTTGCCCTCTGAACAAGAAAGAGGCTGTTCTGGGTGATCCCTCCAGGCCTGTCCAGCCCTGGCACTCCGTGAGTCAGTTTAGGCAGCAGCCCCGGAACAGATGAGGCAGGCAGGGTTGGGGCGTTTGGTCAGGACAGCCCACCGCAAAAAGAGGAGGAAAGAAATGAAAGACAGAGACAGCTTTGGCTGTGGGAGAAGGAGGAGGTTGGGGGAAGGAGGAGACAGGAGGAGGAGGGACCGCGGGGTGGAGGGGAGATAGACCCAGCCCAGAGCTCTGAGTGGTTTCCTGTTGCCTGTCTCTAAACCCCTCCACATTCCTGCAGACCTTCAGACTGCCCGGAGAGCGCGCTCTGCCTGCCGCCTGCCTGCCTGCCACTGAGGTATGTGACCCCCGCCCAGCCTTTCCCTTCTATAGTTGCACCAACCCCAACACCCTAGTTCACGCCGTCAGCTCGTGTGCAAGGGAGGGAAGCTCTGCTGAGGACGCACCTCTCCTCCCGGCTCCATCACGGTTCCCTTTAAGAGCATGGTCCTCGGTCCTGTCTGCCTGTTGCTTTTCAGAAGGTGGACTCACTGTGTAACTTTGTCTTCCCTTATAGGTTTACAGAAAATAATCTCACTATGTCTTCAGGGGAGCATTTCTCTGTTTCTCCCTGTGTCTGTCTCTCTGGTTTCGGAGGCTGCCTGCCTGTCCTCTTTGCTCCCTTTGCAAATGTGGCAGCTTCCTCCTTTCCTGGGAATCTGATCCCATCACAGCTGCCACAGGGACCTGGCCAGCAACCGGAGTCTGTCCTCCTGTTCCTTATTCCAGAAGAAGAAACCTCCTAGACTTGGATGTTGGTCAGGGGCTCGGTTTTCCAAAAGGGACTTTGCACGAACAATCATTTGATCTCCGAAAGGCAAAGGGGGAGGCTTCACCATTAATCCCCACCTCTGGGAAGCCTTCTGTTTTCCTCTGATTCTCCTCACTCCCAAACACCACCTTCCGTCCCCCCACATACACAAACTCAGTGCCGTTCTGCCTGAAATTCTGCTAGGTGTTGCTCCTGTCCTGAGTTCCCTGGGATGGTAAACACAGGCAGTAGCCCTTAGTTTATCTAGATCTGAAGAACCCAGACATCAGATATCGTCAAGCAAGACGTGGGTGTAGTGGGAGGTGGAGTGTGCTGGGGGGGAGATGTTCTCAGAAGGGGGAAAGGGGGAAGGGAAGAGGGAGAGATTTCCAGGGTCCCCTTCCGTACTCCACCCAAGGCTGGTGTCCAGCCTGTCAGGGTGTCAGGTCTTCGTCAGACAAACTCACTACCTTTCTTCACTGCCACTGGCTCCACGAACTGGCTGTCATGTGGACTTCTTTAGGGAAAGGGACTCCAAGGACTCCAAGGGCAGGGGGGCGCTGGGTTGAGTTATGTGTTCCAGGAATCCCAGTCTGCCCAAAAGGGAACAGAGAGGCATGCATTTTCCTCAGGAAAGGACAGCATTTTTTTCATTAGAGAAAATGTTTTCGCTAGTAATGCTTTAGAGTTAAATTTCTGTATGCCCCAAGTGCTGGTGGTTTAGTGAGAAGCAAAGCAGACGTAGGACACAGGCTTCAGGCATGCATTTTATGTGTGATCTTAGGTAAGTGTTTCACCTGGATTTAGCTTCTCCATCTGTAAAGAAAGAAGGCTGAAACTGAAGGCTCTTTGAGGTGCTTTGTGTCCTCTAAAATATTCAAAGGAAGATTTCTTAACCAGGGTCTATGGAGTGGTCTTTGAATGGGCCTCAAGCCATCTGTAAGCCCCTAAAAATTGTATGCACTGTGTGTGTGTGTGTGTGTGTGTGTGTGTGTGTGTGTGAGAGAGAGAGAGAGAGAGAGAGAGAGAGACAGAGAGAGACAGAGAGAGAGAATGAATATGGGTGCTCACAACTTTCAGCTTTAAGATATTCTCAAATGGATTAGAGGGCATGACGTGGGGATGGAGTGAGGACTGGTAACAAACGTGTGTATTTCCCTTTTAAAAAGGGAGTGGTTGAGGAAAGAGAGAGTTAACTCACAGCTATCAGCTGCCACATCGACAAAGCCTAGAGCAAAGAGGGGGAGGGAGGGGAAGAAGGGGGTTGCCTGGAGAAGGAATCAACTTTTGAAACTTTCTCCAAGTCCCACCCACCAGAAGGCTCTTCTCTGCCTGACTCACTCTCCCAGGAATGCGAGTTGCCACGGTAACCTTTTTTTCAGGGTCTCTGCCTGCTGGCTGGGAGGGGACGCTCAGAACCCTCCAAGAACATCAGTTTGAACGTACCCCACCCCCAAATTCAAGGACTGCAGCAAATTTTAGGCCCTGCCCTTGTGATCTCTCAGGATTCCGGGGAAGCCTTGGGCCATGATAATCTCCTTGCAAGGGTGTCTGAAGACTTGGATTTTAGCTCTGGCTGTGCCCTGAAGGTACCATTTGGCCTTGAACTAATACTTCTTTCTGGGCCCCATTCCCTCTACAGTTAAAGAACAGTAACAGCAGCCACCTCTAGAGGGTAGATAGTGTGTGGAAGAAATGGGATAATGCCCAGGGAAGCACAAATCGTGGCGTTCCCTCATAATGCAAAGGGTTTCAGAACTGATGGATTAATGGCATCCAAAGACCTGGTGAAATCATTCTCAGCTTTTTTTTTTTCTTTTTTTTTTCCTGGCAGCTCCATTATCTTGGGGTTCATGTAGAACTTCCCTTTACTAGAAGTGCTGACAGGAAAAAGTTTAAAATCATAATATTGTTTACCTTCATTTTGATTTGGGGACCTTCTTGTGTATTTCCCAAGACTGTTGTGCCCTCTATGTAGGAAAAGCATTGACCAAGGGTACAAAAAAAAAGAAAAAGTGTGTTCTGACTCACAGTGCCTGACATCGGGAAAGACATTTCCTCTCTTGAGGCTGCAGTTTCCCAATCTGTTAAATAGAGGTTCTAAGCTAGATGATCTCCCAGGCACCCTTCTAACTCTAAAGTCCTGTAAACCTAAATCCCAGATACAGTGTTTATTCGAAGGAATAGTTGGCCTGCATTTCTAACACCCCCTTACTGCACCCCCAGTTGAAAAGAAAACAAGAAAGGATGGGCTAGGGGATCTTGGGTTACATAACCATCATGCTGTAATCCTTATCCATCTGTAGAGATTTGTCAACCAATAGTGTGACTGGGGTTTGCTATTCATGAGAACAGCTTTCCTTGCTGAAAACAAGCTATAAATAAGAAAGAATGGTGAAGGAAAGGAAAAGGCTGAGGATGTGAGGTAAACAGTAGAATATTTGGCTTTTGAAGTCATTTAGGTAGGTAGATAAATATGCAGAGATAAACAGGGACAGGTACAAACCCATAGGGCTGAAGAGCATAAACAGTGATTTCATCAACAGGCACCCACTGGCTCAGCTAAAAATAAGTGCCTCATTACAGGAGCAGACACAGAAAGTCATTCACTCACATACTTCTTCCTGGATGACACTGATTTACAAACAAGGTCCAGGAATATATCTTAATGAATGTGAAAATTCTGATCCTCGCCTATTACAGGCTGAAACACACAGATGCTCACTCAGGCTCTATGTAACTTACACAGACATGCCATCAGGTGTACAAACACACACCACCACTTGTAGTCACACATGGATGGATGGATGTGCACAGTCAAACATTATATGGATCATGACAATGAGACAGAAGTGCAACCTACATATATCACTCTGTGTCTCAGAGAGAGAAAAACTGAGGCTCAGGAAGAGAAAATAATTCACTGGAGGTCACATAGCAAGTTGGAGTCTGAGCCAAACTTCCAGGTGTTTGGACCATTTAGATGTTCACCTTGCCTTCCCCCAATCCCCATTTGTTCAGTTTGGAAACGCAGTCATGCACACAAGTCCTGTAGATACTAAGTGGTGAGCAGCACTTTGTCTCTCCCCTTGGCTGGCCTGCAGTGCCTATTCCAGCCCACATGGCTTTGTCATTAGGCCCAAAGGCCCTGCGCGATGTGCCTGTAGGCGGCTGACTGCTTGCTTCTAGCTGGCTCCCTCCCAAACATCAGTCTCAAATGAAAGAAGAGAAAACCGGCCTTGGGCTTTCAGCAACCCTGAGGACCTTGTTTCTATAGCACAGAACCTGATGCCTCCCTCTCTCCTTCCCTCCCTCCCTCCCAACCCCAATCCTGAACCCAGGAACAGCTGGACTCTGCAAGGCCAGGGCCAGCAAGTAGTGACTTGACAGAATTATTTAGAAAAACAGCCTCTCCTCAGCTGGCAGCTTAGACAGGAAATCATCTCTGCTCTCACCCATCAAGCTAAGAGGTTGTTGTCTGTAAGGAAAACATGAACATAGACAACAATTGTTTTCAGAGCTGGTTTCTTTCAGAAACTTGGTATTAACTTCTCTCATTTGGGGATCCCCCTGGGTCATCTTGTGTTAGTCATGGCATTAGGATTTCAGACCTATCAGATTAAAAAAGCAAAGCAAACATCTGGATGTTTTTGACAATCTGGAAGTTTGGCTCAGACACCAGCTTGCCGTATGACCTCCAGAGAGGTATTTTCCTTCTCTAAGCCTCAATTTCTCTATCTCTACAATAAGAGACATCACATAGAGGTTTCATGTGGCCTGACAACATCACTAATCCATTGGTAGTGGCTGTCAGAAGAACTGTGTTCAGGATTCTAATGCCTCTCTAGGCTTCAGGGGAAGAGGTCAGGCGATTGATTAGTAATGTCTGCCACATGTGCAGGAGAGGTAGGTGGAGGCCACGTGTTTGCCACATATGCCACATATTTGCTATCTTCGGGATCTCGGAGGCCTTTCCAGTTGCAACAGCCTGGACACTTTGACGTTATTTCTCCCCCTTTCATTTGTGGTCACCACGATGCAACAGCGGTCCCCTAGAGGGAGCCAAGGAGGAAGCCCGAAGCTCCACCCCAGCCTCTGCTAGCCACAGTGAAACGTGGCATCTCAGATGTCTTTATGGAATCTCAGGCTGATTCTGGCCCCAAACTCTGGAGCATCTCTGAGCTGCCCCAGAAGCTCTCCAGTCCTAAGTTTTAGCTGCCACACCTTAAAAGTTTCCTTTAGCAGCTTCTCTTCCAACAGGAAATAGAAGTGGAAGCAGGGAGTCAAGGGGCAAGTGGAGAGAGGTAATGCTCTAAAAAGCTTCTGCCTAAGTTGTTCCAGAAAATCAGAGCTGAAAAGAACCTAAGGGACCACCTTGCCCAAGGGTTCCACACTGTGTTCCTAGGAGAAACTACAGATATTCCAATGTATCTTAAGGAATGTCCCTGTGTGTAGAACTCCCTGTCCTCAGTTCCACTCCATTTTTAGCTGCTTTTCTTTTTTGTGGATTTTTTTGAGAGGGAGTTTCACTCTTGTTGCCGAGGCCA